AAATTTATTTGATCAAATAAATTCTGCCATAATTGCTTGTTACAAATTTCTTTCTGGGAAAAAATGTTTCACATATATTGATTAACATATTTAAAGGTCAGAAATGAGCTTACCTTCTTGGAGGAATCACGCGAGGTAGAATAATCCGAGTCTGAGGTTGTGTTCAAACTCGAGCTTGTGGCGGTCGAAGACGTCCTTGTTGAAGTCCTACTCCTCTGTTGAAGGCGGAAATTAATTTTAGAATAATGTTGGTAATATGTCCACTGAACAAAGACCGCTCAATTACTTTTGATGAGCACTTTCACCTAAGCTTCACTGTAGCTTTGTTAGATAAGGCGACTCGTTCCCAATTCTGCTAGTAATTTTGTGTGGAGAGAAACTATACATCGCAATTCTAAGTGACTATCAGATCACAAGTTGCCTGTTTGGACCCTAATAATTGATTTCAGAACAGTCATGGGCGCTAAATTATGACTTTTGACTCACTTTTTGAGATATGAAACCTATTAAATGTTGAGTCTTCATGTTGTACTCTAATAAACACGGGGTCACAAATGGTCCTGCAGCCTAATTTAGTGGTTAGCTTAGAGTGAAATGGTTTAAATAGCCATGCCTATGCATTTCTGAATGTACTTGTTTATTTGCTGACAAGGGTCTTGAGGTTTGGTTGGAGAGTTTATAATCACTGTATGAGTTTATGTTTTGGGTTGTTGAGCTAAGGACTTAGATTTAGGACTGGGACCAGGAATTTTAGATTTTAGGTTTAGAGTTGCGGTTAAAAAAAGTTGAGATTTGATCTCCGTCTGGAGCTAGGATTTTAAGTTAAGGTTAGTAGTTAGGATAAGCAAATAAAATTAGTCGTTGGGACTAGTAGTTAGGGTTATGCGTTAGGTCTGATTCCTATGATGCTTAGTTAGAAAGAGCAGTTAGGGTAGTAGTTGGAATTAGTATTGACGGTTAGTAGTTTGGCTAAATCATAAATCAAACCCCAATTTCTTCGTCCCAGACCTAAATTTAGATCCCTATTCCAAAATACCTAGACCTAACCCCATGGTTCCATTTCCAAAATTATATAGTTCTAAACTTCGCGAACAAATTCCCAAAACTACCATCCATAGCTACCAAACCAATGAAACCGTGACCAAGCAAATAAGTGCGGTAAGCATACCAAAATGTAATTACAAAGTAACACTACAGTACCATTCGTCACCAAATCCGGGCATTCGCCCTTTGTAATTTTCAATTACACACAGATAGCATTTCATAACCGATTGGCCCGTAAGGTGAAACACACCATCATTTCGGTGAACTCACACCTGCTCACCATCAACAGCCGACATAAAAGATATTTTATGAAGCGGATAAATGTAGAACAGACTATTCGATTGCCAGACCACCTTCGAATGCTGTTAATTTGATAGGGAGCTTGACTAGTGACCGACAACCTTTCCACCTTGGACTCAAAGAACTTCCATCATTCCCGGACACTTACCGAACTCTTTGCTGCCGAGTCGGTGTCCAAATTGTACATGCAACTAAGAATGTGGGATGTGAGCTGTTCAACCGCTGCATTCTCCAGCGTCTTCTTCTTAACCCACACAAGGTAGAGGCGGTGGTAGTAGATAATCATATTCGGCTTCAGGTAGGTAAAGTACAGTACCTCCACCAGGTCCTGGAACCAATGAAAATAAAGTGCAATAAATACTTTTTTTAAAGAATTACTTTCCACCCACTAAAAATAATGCCACTTGTGCCCCTGACGTTCTAAAAGCAGCAGCAAACGAGTTTGCATGTGCTACTGACGTTGAGGTGACAAGGTCGTAGTTTTGTGGCTATATTGACTATTGCCACGCCTGGCGCATTTGTCCAGTGCCCCGCTGCTTCAAGGTTCTTCACCTTCCCAGCGAGGCGTTACGGCTACACTAACCTCACACTCAGGCCAACTACGACGTGACAGTTAGACTATAGTATCCAATGGGGTCTGCCGTGTGCTCAATAGCAAGGCAGCGCAAGGACGGTGACTGCCGGGTGGATGAGGAGTAGCATCTACCGCTCTCCCTCTCCTTCTCCTCCTCCGACGGGGACATGTGTCATGGATAAGTCAAAAAGACCGGAGGTGTGAGGAGTAAGTGTCAAGTGAAAACATGTAGTCGAACTTGCTTCATGCGGCCGCTGGGAGTAAGTTGTGCCATATGTAAATTGAAAGTGTGCGCGGCGCTTCGCGCTGCGGACTTTACTAATCAAACTCCAGAATGGTAAGTTGGACCTCAGATAAGTTGAAGTAGACCACTTTCTAACCGCCATTTAAAGTTTACGGGAATTTCAAGAAATCTGCATTTTTATAATCGGGCTTTCCCGAAAAGGTTAAACGATAATACAGATTAGGAAAACCTTCAGATATAAAGCAACAACACTTCCGAATACAGTGAACTTAAAACACATTCAGCAGTTATTAAAGTATATTTCACTGCGTGTCCTAGGCCCCAACCCATAAGATCCTATAACCACCGTTTTCGTTGGAAAACACGCTGGGATTAGGGATTAATGGGGCGGACTGCATAAGCTACCATTGCCCATAATATAAACTATAAATAGCGTTGCAGTTATAAAGCATAAACGCTAAAAGCAAAATATTTATCTTTACAGGTAGCATATTCCCGTTGTCAGATTGAGCAATTATACTGCTACCGTTTTCATATAAACCTCCGAAAGTTCTGCAGTTGTTTCAGTCAGCAGGTAACAGGAGAAATGCATTGGTGCGTTGCGCCGTTATAACACTTCAACGTTCGGCAATAATTCAGCATACTAGCAAAATTTGAGGACAGAGAACTACCATTTCTGATATAGTGGCTACTTTAGGCCATCTGTATATGCTGACGCAGCCAAACTTTGAGCAGATATCCAGGAGATGCTGTAACCTACGTCCAACATTATTGTCTCCAGTGACCTCGTTCAAGGTCAATTGCCTCAAGATTATTCATATTCGCGGTGAATGCTTTCAGGCTGGCTGACCTGCAGACACTTGGATGACTTCCACCCGAAAGCACACAGACGCGTCCAGATAGTTGCGACTGCTCAAGTGTCACTCGAACACGCCTCTCTTCCGCTCTCAACGGATACAGGATATACCATCAAACACGACACCCCGGGTAATGCCGCAAATACGAAGTGGAGAACGCTTAAACCTGCTGCTATTTACGCAGCTGTTACCACTGTCTTACGCTCTATCCGACATGACTGGATGCAGTCAACACCAGTCACGGCCACTCTTGTGACAACTGCTATCTGGGACAGCAACTGGGGGCTCTGTACAGTATTAAGTACTCCTCCCCTCACAAAAGTCTTTTGTGTAAATGTATAAATGTGGATTTGGTCTGTTAATTGTAGTGTTCCGACTCAGACACTACATCAATCGCCTATGTGTTGCGCTGTCCATTTCATCTAATTTAGAGTTAGAACTAGTAGATTCAAAGTTAAATTTGACTGGCCCTCGCCGATAATTATTTATGGAGGAGTGATGTGGCCATTTCCGTTTTGTTCCTGCACCCTGGGCCTCAACTTATGCTAAAAGGAAACTATTTTGCATCTTCAGAGACAGGATAAAATAGCTACTCAATGGGGATACCGAAGGTTAGACTTTAAAGGAAAGCAGCAGCAAAAAGGTTTCCAAACTTTGAAACACCCTTCCCCATTCAATGGTTAGTCGTCCATAGCGGGCCAACTTGTCGAGTCATTACACAATAATCAATGCAAGGAGCTTGATACTTTTGTTGTGCCATACCTACGCGCTGGGGTGATTTTCCTATTCGCAGGTTCCTGCAAGAAAGAAAGCTGCAATGCCTTTACACAAATAGATTTCGGACACGTTCGGTACCCGACTGTAATGAACTTTGGCATTTGATTTTGCGTCGACCGTGGTTTGCTCGCTTAATTTCTGAAGTACAAACATGTTATTTTAGTCCCCCATAGCCGTTCAGATTACGAGTAAAAAATCTGCCTTTTCCAAACAGACCGGATGCAAACGGTGGATGTTCTGTGCATGAGACGTACTTAGTTCTTCACACATAGCGACACAATTTTTGTGCATTTAAAGTATTCGTGTTGATGTTGGTGCGTTAAGCTGCCACTTGACGCATATGAGACCAACCTTTGAAGATAGTACGTTTTAGCTTTTGGAGCCTTTACTACTTAATGATGATCATTCAGAATCTCATGTGAATATATATGTTGTTTTCGGATTACAACTTCCGCTTACCATGACAAACACGGAAGTGTAGGTTAGGGTGACGAGGTTGCCACCCCCCATACTGGCCTCTCCATGATTGAGAAAGATCGACAATATTACAACAACAAGCCAACCCAGGGTATGGATCACGCATCCCAGCCATTCGGCCATGTACCGATGGTTTGCGGATCGTAGATGGTTCGCTAGAAGAAAAAGGGAGAGCCCTAATAATGCTATAGTTGGATGTATCACCACCGACATGAAGTTGTCCGGCATGCATCTAAAATGTGTGAAAAAAATAAAATTACCGCACTGCAGATAGATTCCACAGTTGTCTATAAAACTCATTAACCATTCATCTAAGCATCTACATTTGTCTTCGGGCCATTTAATACATGGCGGAGTACGATATTTTGATTGGCGATTCGGTGGAAATTTAATTTCGGTTCCAGAATATTTTTAACAGTGTAATATTTAGTAGCAAAAAGTGCGCATTACAAATTATATTTATAATTCGGTAGAAGTTCTTTGGGAAAAATGTTGTTTATTGAGGGAATTTCCGATAATGGCTCACCAGGTCGTCATCAGACGGATGGGAATCGTACGAAACAGTTAATCCGAAATGATGACCAAAAGAGGCTAATATAGTGGGTCGGGGTAAAAATTGGAAATTGTCCCCCGCATGGGATTATGCGGTTACTCCAACCCACTATATTAGCCTATGTTAGTCATCATTTAGGATTAACCGCTTCGTACGATTCCTATCCGTCTGATGACAACCTGATGAGCCAGTGACGAAAATTCACTCAATAAACAAAATTTTCCCAAAGAACTTCTTATGCCTAATTATAGTTCTTGGGATGCCGATTTTCCAGTTCATTTCATTTATAGTTTGTAGATTACCTATAGCTATGGGTTATTTTTTTGTTCAATTTCTTTTCTGCTTTTGTTTATTATTAAGTTTTTTGACTATTTTTAGATTTATTTTATATTAGTTAATTTATCTTAGTTTAGTTTACCTTTGTTTATGTAGCCTAGTTTATTGAACTTATTTTTTAGATCAGTTTTTGGTTGTGCTTTGAGTTTATTTTGTTTTGTTGGTTTTATTTTAGTTTTAGATTGGTTTTTAATTTAGCTAATTTAGCTCACGTTAATTTACCTTTCATTAGTTAGTTGACTTTATTCTTAGTTATTTCTTAGTTTGGTTAGGTTAGCTTATTTTTTATCATTATTTAATTATTTCGCTTAATTTTTATATTTGTTTGCAGTATAGTTTTAGATTTATTAGTCACATGCGGTTTTATGTTATTTTTTACTTCACTGTAGTTTAAGTTCAGAAATTCTTAGTTCTTTGGGTTGTTCCTCAAATTCTCAGCAGTCCCCGATATATGTGTGTTTGCACGTTTTATGTAGGGCACTATTTTTTGCCAAACGGTAGATTATTTAAATAATTATTCCTTTTTTTCTGCTTTTATGCGCTGTACTCTTTTTATTATGTTTTCTTCCCCCTGATATGCCCCACACCTTTAACTCGTATTATCGCTAACTCCATATTAAAGAAGGATAGGTTTTTTGCCTGCTGTACTGAAACCTAAACTAGACTTCTATCGTAAATTCTCCCAGCCGCCTCTTTAAAATGAATTGCGTAGAACGACTCACTGTCTACACTATTTTTCCCATCGATTTTTGCGGTTTAAATATCTTCCAGAACGACTTGCATTGGACACAAAAAATGTCTAAATTCTTATAAATTGAGCGGAATGTATCTAAAGGAACGCTACTTTAGGAGAATAACATGATCATTCATTTAATCAAGTACCAATAGGTATTTTAGGATTGTTTATAAACATAAAAGTTTCGAATTTTGTGGGCGGTTACTGACTCACTCACGTAACCTACACTACGCCGGCGTATCACTTTGGCTTGCAAACTATGCCAAATCACCTAGCATTAAGAACACTGCGAGATTTCATCTGATGACCGTTGAAGAGATACACCACAAACACCTTTACATCCCTGAGACAGGCTTCGGCTCAAATTAAACATAAATAAGGCAGTTTTTTGCAAATGCAATTCTGCCTCTCAACACCTACACTTTTAAAACATCTCTCAACGAATGAGCGTACAATATTTCCATTTCCAGATGCATCTAACGAGTTGTTGTATGCTTTTTGGATCAATTGAACAGTCATGCGATATCTAAGGGGAGTTATGTTAACCCAGTTTTGATATTAAGAGATTATTGAAAATACGAGCACATTAAGACAACGTGTTACGTGCATGAAAAGATCTTAGCAAGCGTTTTATAAGTAAGAGCATTTTGGTAGGCCTAAGTATCCTTCTTGAAGCTCTTTGTCATGTTTTTATTTAAACGCAATGTTTTATCATCATCCCGTTTATTAATCAGTCTGACTGAACTCACGACGGGTAGTAGAACCTCTTAGCTGATGTGGCTAGAGCTTTAAAAGTACCCCCTACTGTCAGAGATTCAAATCTCACTGAGACCACTGCGGGGAAGCGTGTGAAAACGATGAGTTGCACTCATAAGACACTTACAAACCCTGTCTACCTGTGAATTTTTCATTATCCTTGCATTTGTGCCGGCCCGAAGCGGAATGGCTCAAAACATGTTTGCCGAAAAAACTATTTATGCTCTACGTTCGTTAAATCTCTGTTTTTATTTTTTATCTGGGAATTTTTTGCAACCCTGGTACTCCGTTAGCTGAGGAAATGTGGTTCAGGTATTCTATCCCAGGCTATCCAGTGCAGACTTGCAACAGACTATTGCTGTTGGCCAGTCTAGCATTCCAAAGCCTGTGGACATAGCAAAGTACTGTGTATGAGTTCTCTAGCCATGTGCCTCTGGACCAGAGATTACGTATTTGGCTAATAAGCAGACTACAGAGTAGTTGGAAGGTGTTTGGCAGCAAATGCAAAAAAAATTTAACTTACCCGC